GAACCATAGCAGGGATGAGGGAGGAGGTATTCAAATGAAAACTATGTTTACATCAGGACTGATGGGGGCTGGAGGTATGTGCTAAGTGCACAAGAAGCATTTAAGACAACATAAGGGTTTTCAACTTTGGCACTGAGTGAGTGATAACGCTATTAATAATAATAAACAAGACAGGGTATAGGAGAAGGAAACATTTGGGGAGCATGAGAATGTTTTGAACTTTTGAATTGAAGACATCTGTAGGACATTCACATAGAAATGCAATATAAAATATTTCTCTGTCTGGGCCAGCACTGTGACAGAGCAGTAATACGCTGCTCAGAAGAAGCTGGGTGTTGCATGGTGAACACTGTACAAATCCCTGGGCCAGTCAACCTGAAACATGCCAGGCACAAGTACAAGTGCCCCTGATCAGTGGGCTGGTGAACTGGAGGAAGATCAGTCTGATGTGACCAGACCCCAGACCCCAGGGTACGTGGTGCACCCAGGCGGTGCACGCACGCGCTCTCTCATGTATACACATCCTGTATAATGACTAAAGGCAGGGGGATAGAATGTAGTTTCCTGAGACTACTCTCCACTCTCCAGTTTCATACCTGCTAGAGATTAGCCTTAGGAATCCGGTTTTTGAACGCATGTGTTTCTGTCTTTGTGAAGGTTATTATTAAGAGAGCACTGTTGATTTCTGTTTGACATCTGGACCATAGGACAATTTTGAGCTATGTGGCAATGACAACTGTGACCTTTTCCCCAGCCCTTGTAACACAGTTACAAACTTTAGCATGTAATTCTATGTTATCTTATATCACATTCTACGTGTTCTAAATCACTTTTGTCTCACCCTAGACTGGAGACATTTAGGCTGAGATGAAATTTTATGCTTCTCTAACAGGCTCAGCGGTGCTACTGAAGTCCTCATGGTGGCCTCAGTGATTACTGCCACCCCAGAGTGTTAGGAGAATTCATTTCTCCCTGTGTAGCTGGTGATGCTACAATAGTAAGTGTGTTAAGGGATTGCTGTCATTCATGCATGCATTCATTCATTCATGAGTTCCTGCATTCGTGCTGTGTACAAAGTATCGTCGCTTTCCAACTGGACATGAAACATTAGTGTTGTTCTGTTTTTAGAAATAGATACCATCATAAAATGTGATGAAAATACTTTATTGTCTTTTTCAGAGATCAACCTATTATTTTACATGAAAAAGTGACTTGATTCCCTTTTCAGAGATGTGTAATTATTTTATATAAAAATTTTGCGTTTTGATTTTTTTTAAAACTTAAGATTACTTCTGGTGGAGAGGGAGGTGTTGGGAGAGTGAAGACAGTAGAAGAATGAAAAAAGACAGAGCGAGTGAGAATTATCTTAACATATTGCCATGTATTGCTCTCTCCCAGAGGACATTTTTACTAGACTGGATGCTGTCAATCAGGCCTGACTGTTGCTTTTCTCTGCCCCTGACTTGCCTGATTACCTTGGTTGTCCACTGTGCTCACTAATGTGCCATGCACATGGAATGCGGGAATGAAGAGCAGGGTCTTAGTCAGACTGCTTTGGTTTACATGCCCTGCCATTCGGTGTTTGTGCGAACTTGGTTATATCATATGATCCCTAAGTCTCTCTTTGTTCTTCTCTAAAGGGGGAAAGAGCACTGTGTAGCTAGATTATAAAACTGTCACATGAAAGCAAGCGGAAGTGTTTAGCATAGGTCTTGGTATATATTGGGTTGTCGGAAAAGTCATGCCATAGTTTTCTGTTTTTCTATGCAGAAGTGTGTCATGACTTTGCAAACAACCGAATAGTAAGAGGAGTATATTGGGTTGTCGGAAAAGTCATGCCATAGTTTTCTATGTTTTTCTATGTAGAAGTGTGTCATGACTTTGCAAACAACCCAATAGTAGGAGTCTTCAAAAAGTTCCTGGAAAATGCATACTATGAAAAAACTCTACATGGTCTTTAAAACAGTTTCGCAGCAAGGTTAGCAAATACTTTAATAACTTTTTCCCATGGACCATGCAACACGTTCTTGTACATATGCAGTAAATGTTGATAAGAAGGAGTGATACATTATTGTAAACCCTGACATACTCTGTGTTTCTTTCAAGTGCTATATGACATTAAAGTAAAATACATGTATTTTGAAATTTTACTTTTATTTATTATTTGTAATATTTACAGTCATGTATTTTTATTTTATTTTTAGTTACTAAATTTCATTGTACATTTGTCTGCCTTGAGATGGTCATCCTCTGTGTATATGACTTTTCTATTTTGCACATGAATGTCTACTGTGGGAAAAACAAAAACAAAAATAAGTTTACAGATATTCTAATGTCGTATTTCTAGTAAATAGCCTCCCATGCCTTTTTCTTCCACTCCTCCCCTCTTGCCTAGTGAACCTGCCTTCTCAGAACCTATCTTCTCCAAAACAGCTCTGTGGGATAGAGATATAGGCTGCACAAAAAAGAAAAGTAAAGGAGACAAGTAAAACATATAATAAAGCAGAACAAAAACCTTAAAAAAAAGTAAAGCATATAATACAGCAAAATAGGAACTTCCAGTAGAGGGAGATAGAGGCAAAATAATCAAGGCATATCCTATGCAAGTGCAATGGCAGAAAATTTAAAAACTAAGTTTTTCCTGTCTTAAACATCTGGCTGAGAACTAACTAAATATAGGTAACACTGTGGTTCCTGTTTCGTTAGTTGGGTAGCCCAAACTGATTAAGCAAGTACTTCGGGAAGCACTGTGAGGACCCTTCACGCTGTTACTGTTGCACCGTGACTTCCCACACAGTTTTAGAGATGGCAGTAAAGACAAGGTGAACATCTCTCACTCCAAATCTCTAAAAATACCAATCGTGGGAATTACAGGCTGGGTCACTAGAAAAGAAAGAAAGAACATCAAGGATATTTATCTCATTCCAACAGATTTTTTTTTTTTTCATGGAGTTCTAGACTATTTGAGTTCATTGCAGTTAGTCCTAAGTGACATAAATGGTTGGACTGAATCAGAACTGTCCTTTTTGAAAACATTAAAAAGCATTGTAAATTATACCACCACATTTTGAAATCGCTGGGATGCCTTTCATTGAAAGCAAATTAACATTTAATTCAGGTTGGATTGGAATTTTTTTTTCCCAGTTATTTTCAGTAGGGTAGTTAAGTTGATTCGAACCTTCACTTTTCCAACAGAAACATCACATTTCTTTCTGTTGGCAACATTGTCCAATAACTGACTATTATAATGGCCCCTCTGCACTGTGAGATTTAATACTCTTATTCTATCACACTCTAAGAAATTACTGCCCTGGAGCCTGGGGATGTTGAGACTGCGTTTAAACCTGAGAGTCTCACGTAATAGTTGACTGAGTTTTCCCTTCTGTAACATGCCGAAGTATTTTGATGTGGATTCTATTTTTTTTGGCTGCAATTAATAAATTCAGCTTGTGAAATATCCAAAGAACTTTATGTAATACACAAAATGTATCTACTTTACATAGATTCACTACAGTAATTTGATCATTTTTTATTTAGTTAAATTAGAAATGGAAGTGATAGTCTCTGCTGATTTTATTCGTGTTAGTGAATTTGGTAAATATTACCACCACCAACTTAATAGATATTAGTTTTCAAAAGATGTTAGTTTAAATCATGTAACTCTTGGTTAGAATTGTACGAACCTTCATCAGTTTTCTTTTCTGTACGCTTTGTCACATAGCATGATAATTCCTTTGTGTGTAAGCTGATTTTTATCATTTCATTACAAATTATGAAGGAGCTGCTTTGCCACGGAAGACTTCACAGCACATAGTTTGCTTTTTTTTGGTAGAACTAAATTTTCTCACTGCATTGTGTTATACTTTCATAAGGTGAACATTTTATATACTTCATTTAACCACTAGATGTGGGGTTTTTGAATTAATAATTCTCAGTGCACAGCCTTAATTGGACTTCTTTATCCAAAGAGCTTAGCTACTACAGACAAATTAAATTGTCTTTTTAAAATCTCTTGTAAAGAAATGAATATGCCTTTAAAATAGCCATAGAAAAATGAGATTGAGCAAATCTACCACTGTGCTGTGTATCTATCAGAATACACAAGGTTATGCTATAGTAATACGCCTAAAAACTTAGTGACTGAGATTTATTTTAGTTACTTAGGGACTCAGACTGAAGGAGGCTCCATTTTGATACATGCTGTGTGATTTCCCAGCTGGGAAAAAGGAGTAGTGAGTTCTCTAATAAGTCTTAAAACTTCTGCCTGAAAATAGGATAGTTCATCTTGACAAGATGTAACCACATCGGAATTCAGCAGGGTGTCTGATCCTCGCACAGAGAGGGGCACTAGCTGTTTGTCAACAGTATGACAGTTTACTACACTGTTGTAAACTTATGAATAGTAACAGTTAGTGCACCAATCTTACAGACTGTCCAATTTAAAACTGACTATGGGAAGTAAATGACCTGCTTCATCAGCCATAACCTGATTTGCTTTAGAAAACATGTTGACAGTGCATAGAACACATTCACGTACACAACTCTCAGAATTCTGTGTAGTCCCAATGAGTTAGGCACTGTTTTCAGTAACATTTGTATCACTGGGGCTCTTACATTGTTCTACTTGCAGTGTGGACAAGGAGTAACTGTGTTACATACATTGACCCCCTTTAAATACACAGGTGTAGGTCAGCCAGGGCAGTTCATAAATTTAATAATAACCTTACTTTTTAGATGTTCATCTTTTTCTTCTTTTTGGCTTTTAGGACCAAAAAACCCCACATTTTAATAAAAATCTAGATCCTTCCAATAACTAGTATCTTTCATAAATATAAGTGGAACCATTGAACATATGTCAACGTTTACATCAAAATGAAAATGTCGTAATTCATTATAGAAAGTATTATTCATTTATTGTTTTTCATCTCATACAAATCCGCTATTCATTATTTAATTATAAATTGTTGTTTTTTTCTATCCTGGTTTTGTTTTTGTTTTAGGCATTACTGATTTCCCCAAAATATTTTGTGAAACTTCTCAGAAGCTGGTGAATGTGGAAGCCTTTGCTCAGGCTGCAAAATATTATTCTGTACAGAATTTGGGAGTATGTACTCCTTTTGAACAGTTGCTTGCAGCCCTTCAAGGAAACCAAAAGCAGAGAACTGGTATGTTCGTTTGTGTGTATGTATGTTTAGAAGCAATATACTATTCATGTAAATATCTTGCCAACAATTTTTTTTCATTCTGTGTAACCCCCTTCATTGCTCACAGCTCACAGGTAAGGAGGCTGGACAATGACTTGAGACTACAGTTTACTCTGGAATAGGCATACCATGAGAGACTCACAGGGCAAGACCTGTCATAAATATGTTACCATGCTCACTTCCCAACATATTAATTTATTGTTAGACTTTATATCATAAGTCCTAGTAAATTAGCTTGTTTTCAGAAGAATAGGTTTTCTCTTGTACTATATCAAACAGAACAACTTATAGATCTCCCCATTCTCTCACTTCAGCACTGTTACTTCCGATAGTTCCTATCTCACAAACACGGGTTGCGGTGGGGTACCACAAATTTCTAAATCCTTCCCTGCCCTTGTAGTGAGCTAATGTTCTCTATGACCGGTTCTTTGGGAAGAGTGTGAGAAGACAAAAAGTGCAGGTAGGGATATGGGAGGAGAAATCTGAGTGTTAGAAAGTGAGGGTGGTATAAACAGAAAAATACATAGTAACATGGTAGGTTAAATCTCAAATCATATCAATAATTGCATGAACTACTGGCTGTAATACATCTAATAAAAAACGAGAGATCAGAAGACTACAGTAAAATAAATAAATAAAAAGTGGTCCTCAATGCTGAGATAAGGAGCCAGCTTTACTACCACTAATAATGTACCTAGTCTTTTTTTTTTTGAGAGGTTTTTTGCTATAGGGCGCGTGCACTCACCAGACAGAGAGACAGAGAGACAGAAAGCGAGAAATCACCCCCCAGGGGGGATGGTCACGCCACAATCCCTTCTCCTCCATTCTCCTCTTGGGATCTTGGGCATGCACGCACACGCACCCAGCGTGAGTTTTAAGCAACTGGGTCTGGGATGCGAACCGCGGTCGACTACATGGGAGTCCAGCAACATAGCCATTACACTAACTGCTGGTTCCCAAACCTAGTCATTTTATTAATTCATTAATAATAAAATAATGAATCTGGGGCCTGCAGGTAGCATGGTGGTAAAGGCATTGGACACTCCCACATGACTGACCATCGTTTGAATCCTGGGCCTGGTGGCCTGCTTTCTCACTGTGTGTCTCTCTGTGTTCAAATTTTTTTAAAAAATGAATGAATAAATTAAATCAAATTAAATAATTCTTTTAAAAATAAATAAAATAATGGGGAACCATAAAGAAAGAAAGAAAGAAAGAAAGAAAGAAAGAAAGAAAGAATCTCAGATCTTTATCATTGGCTAAGCTCTTTCATATCTGTTATTTTGTTTGGTCCTCACTTTCAATTTTTGAGTTCCAAACCTAAAGAAAATGTGAATTCTGTATACTTTTCATGTAAATTTATAATTTATTAACATTTTGCCACACTTGTTATACTTTTCCTCTATATATCCACATATACTTATTTTTTCTGAATCTTTTAAACATAAGTTATAGATATCACATTTGACCCTCAGATACTTGAGCATGTATCTTATAAGAACAAGGATATTTTCCTATGTAGTCCATAGTGCATTGCACACTCAGAAATTTATTTAACTTTGCTATATAATATTATCTAAGAGTCTATATTGAAATTTCTCTTATTTTTTCAAAAATACTCCTTATAGTTTTTATTATTATTGTTATTATTATTGTGATTATTATTCAGAAGTCAGTCCAAGCTCATGCGTAATATTTTATTGTTACGTTTTTAACTCTTCAATATGGAAAAATTCCTTACCCTTTTTTTGTTTACCCTGACACTTTTTGAAGTACAAGGACACTTCCAAAAGTTTGTGGAAAAATAAAATTAAAGTAGAGTTTATTTGGTGTAAAAATTTTTGAAATTTGTGCTTAAGTTTTTCATAATATATATTTTCTGTAAAGTCTTTAGAGACCCCTTGTATATAGGACAGGTTCATTTGATGAATTCCCCATGATTAGATTCAGGCTAGGCATTTGGGACAGAATACAAGTAAAAGGATCCCTTTTCCATGTGTCACTTCAAGAGACTAATATAATTTGTCCTATTATTAATGATACTATTCATTTTCATGGTAAAGGTGGAACCACAGAAATTCTCCATTGTAAAGGGGCACTTTGCCTTTGAATCCAGTTCTTTCATTATTATTTTTATTTCTTTTTTTATCTCTCTAATCATTTATCTCCAATCATTTTAAACAAAATGTTTTATAGTGTATCCTCTGGAGCAGAAGAAGGGGCTGTTTGGTGAAGCATGGCTGTTAATATGGGTGTTCTGGCTACAAATGAGTTTATTGGCAGTGTTGCTGTGGGACTATAGTCTACAGGCGCCCGAAGTGCCTAGGTGCACAAGGACTATTCCGGCTGTTGCTGCTATCAGTATACCTCTGAATTCAGGATAACATCCTTAGCCATTCCCTTAATTTATAGTTTAAAGGTTGCATTTTAGCTTTTCATCTTAATTCCCCACTGCCTGCTTCCCATATGATTAATGATGTTGATCTCCTCGTCACATACTGTTTTCCCATTTTAATATACTCTATCATGTGTAGGACAAAGTGTGTACTGTAAGGCCCTATCCTGTAGATTGCGTTATTGTGATGAAAATGTCCGTAACTGTGCTAGTCCATAGATTAGAAACTAGCCACATGTAGCTGTAGAGTAGTTCAAATATGGCTAGTGTAGTTAGAAAGTTAATTAGGGATTTTGTCACTCGTGGTTAGTAACTACTATATTATATATTGTGTTGCTGGGAAAGTCATGGCACATTTTTGCATTGGAAAACAAAGAAAAAACATCATGACTTTTTTAACAAACTAATCATATTTCATATTGATAGTGAAATGACTGTTCAGGACTTTTGCCCATTTTTCTTTTCTTTTTTTTTTTTTTTTTTTTTTTTTTAAGTTTTTTTTTTTGTTTTTTTATACGTT